CAATAGTTGTTTTTTGTTGTTGTTTTATTGTTGTTACTGGGATTTGAACTAAGGACCTCATACTTTTACTTTATTTTTTTTTACTCAAGACTAGTGCTATACTTGAGCCACTACTCTACTTCTGGCTTTTTGCCTGGCTGGCTTCAAACTGTGATCCTCAGATCTCAGCCTACTTAATAGACAGTATTCTATGCATGAGCCACCAATACCTGGATCCAGTAGTCCTCTTGAAAGTTAAAAAAGGGGGGGCTAAGTACAAAAAAGCTTTTCAGCTGGGAGCTGGTGGCTCATACCTGTACTCCTAGCTACTCAGGAGGCTGAGATCTGAGGATCACAGTTCAAAGCCAGCCCAGGCAGGAAAGTCCGTGAGACTCTTATCCCCAACAAAGCATTAGAAAACCGGAAGTGGCGCTGCGTCTCAAGCAGTAGAGCCCTCACCTTGAGCTGAAGAGCTGAGGAATAGTGCCCAAGCCTTTAGTTTAAGCCCCACAACCGAAAAAAAACCTTTTGGAAGGCACCTTTGAAGATAGAGTAAAAATAACGTGTGTTAAACATAAGATATTTACATAATGCCAAATAGCGTAGGGTATCTGTATACAAACACATATATTTAGGGGTAGTACTCGGGTTTGAACTCAGGATCTTGTACTTGATAAGCAGATGTTCTTCCTGCTGTGCCAAGGACTCTAGCCCTGCTTCTGCTGATTATTTTTAGATAGGGTCTCTCACTTTGTGTCCCAGGTATACAGCTGGACACAATCCACCATGTTTGGTTTCCTGTCAGCACTAGAATAACAGGCACAACTGCATTTTGGGTTTCATGAACTTTTCTGTCTGTACTGGCTTGAATTATGAACCTCCTATTCTAAGCCTCCCCAATTAGTAAGATTATTCATAGGCATGAGCTAGCAGTGTCCAACCACAAAGTGTATTTGCAATAAGTAGATGATGATGTTTATCCTTTGTCCAGAAGGATATGGTTAATGTCATCCACCAACTAATGGTACTGTTGGCTTTCCAACGTAAAATGCCTCAGGGAATGTGGCTTAGTGGTAGAGTGCTTGCCTAGCATGAATGAAGTCTTGGGTTCTATTCCTCAGAATCGCATAAACAGAAAAGGCCAGGAGTGGCACTGTGGCTCAAGTGGTAGAGGGCTAGCTTTAAGCTGAAGAGCTGAGGGACAGCATCCAGGCCCGGAATTCAAGCCCCAGAATTTGGCACACAAAAAATAAAAATAAAAAAGATTGTTGAAGGTAGCCATCATGACCGTTTTCATTGTTGTATTCCCAGTAACATGCACAGCTCTTGCTGCTTCAGTGTTTACTGACTGAATGAAAATCAGCTTTATATTTAAAAAATCCTATTAACTTCCTGCCTTTCTTGTCCCTTTATTACCTATCAATATCTATAATGACTTCTTTTTTTTTTTTTTTTTTGGTTGGTCATGGGGCTTGAACTCTAGGCTTGGGCGCTGTCCCTGCGCTCTTCAGCTCAAGGTGAGCGCTCTACCCCTTGAGCCACAACGCCACTTCCAGTTTTCTGGTGGTTTATTGGAGATAAGAGTCTCATGGACTTTCCTGCCCAGGCTGGCTTTGAACCGCGATCCTCAGATCTCAGCCTCCTGAATAGCTAGGATTACAGGCGTGAGCCACCAGCACCCGGCTATAATGACTTCTTTCATCAGCTAGATTTTATACTTTTACAAATTGACAAAGTCTTTATACTTAACTCTAGTATTTCTGCAGTCTGTGTTCATATTGCTTGCTTAGCTTTCCTCTAGGTGGTAGGCATTCTGGCATTTACACACTATATCACTATAAAGATTTTTTCTTGGTCAGTCATGGGGCTTGAACTCTGGCCCTGGGTGCTATCCCTGAGCTCTTCAGCTCAAGTCTAGCACTCTACCACTTGAGCCACGGTCCCACTCCTGGTTTTCTGGTGGTTAATTGGAGATAATAGTCTCATGGAGTTTTCTGCCTGGGCTGGCATCTTAACTGTGATCCTCAGATCAGCCTCCTGAGAAGTTAGGATTACAGGCATAAGGCACCAGCAGCCAGGTATAAATATCTTTTTTTGGGGTTCTGGTTGTGGGGTTTGAACTCTGGGTCTGGGTGCTGTCCCTCAGATCTTCAGCTCAAGGCTAGCACTCTACCGCTTGAGCCACAGTGCCACTTCCGGCTCTTTTCTGCTTATGTGGTGCTGAGAAACGGAACCTAGGGTGCCTCATGCATGCGAGGCAAGCACTCTACCACTGAGCCACCTTCCCAGCCCTATAAATATCTTTATAAACCACTTTTCCTCCTTTTGAAATGTTTCCATGGGCCATATTAAATAAGTCATCTTAGAAAATCCCATAAGTGACTTAGGTAATGCCTTAATTTGTAATCTTTATACATGACACATTTTGTGGATTTCTAGTGCCCTAATAATGTGTTTGCTTCATTGATTTTACTCTAACCTCTTCCCAGGGTTTATGAGTGTAACAAACGCTGTAAATGTGACCCAAACATGTGCACAAATCGGTTGGTACAGCATGGACTACAGGTTCGACTACAGCTATTTAAGACACAGAACAAGGGCTGGGGTATCCGCTGCTTGGATGACATTGCCAGAGGCTCTTTTGTCTGTATTTATGCAGGTTGGTGATAAAATACAAAGATTGCTTCCTGGGCTTTGACATGGTGGGGTATTGATCCAGAAAAAAATTGAATAAAGTACTAGCAAGACATCCCAGCATGGAGAAGGCTAGAACAGGGGAACTTTTTTTTTTTTTTTTAGTGCCAGTCCTTGGGTTTGAACTCAGGGCTTGGGCATTGTCCCTTCCCTGGATCCAGTCTCCAGTACCATTTGATCCGGTCTCCAGTACTTATTTAAGTGGGTCCATGAATATATAGAGATTTCTTCTATAAAGGAATTATGTTCTTGTTTGAGAGGACCAGAGAGGGACAAAAGTGGCTTATAAAAACAAAAATGAAAAGGTTTGGACATTGATTGGTATTTCACAGGAGTGACACCATTTAAATTCCCTCATATCATTTTCTCCTATATCACTTCACCCAGAGATCTTTTTGCATAGTTGAAATCTTTCAGTAAATAAAGTAATGAAGAAATGAGAAGGCAAAATGGCAACATTTTAAACTATTAATAGCCTTTACCATACTTTCATCCTAAAGACACAAAAGTGGTATCAAAGAGAAGCTGGAGTCAGCACCAGTGGCTCATGCCTGTAATCCTAGCTACTCTGGAAGCTGAGATCTGAGAATCATGGTTCAAAGCCAGCCTGGGCAGGAAAAGCCAAGAAACTTTTTTTTTTTGGGGGGGGGGGTCTGGTCATGGGGCCTGAACTCTGGGCCTGGGCACTGTCCCTCAGCTTTCAGCTCAAGGCTAGCGTTCTACCACCCAAGAAACTCTTTATCTCCAATAAACAACCGGAAAACTGGAAGTGGCACGGTAGCTCAAGTGGTGGAGTGTTTGCCTTGAGCTGAGGGACAGCGCTCAGACACAGAATTCAGGCCCCATAACCAACAATTAAAAAAAAGAGAAGCTGGAGACTATAATGTAGACATTCCGATTCTGCTACTGGACAGGGTACTCATAGAAATAACCTTTATTTTCCTAGAAGATCCCCACAACCCTGAAAGACTTAAAATTCTCTTCATTCTTAGGCAAAATCCTGACAGATGACTTTGCAGACAAAGAAGGCCTGGAAATGGGTGATGAGTACTTTGCAAATCTGGATCATATTGAGAGTGTAGAGAACTTCAAAGAAGGGTATGAAAGCGATATACCCTGTTCCTCTGACAGCAGTGGTGTTGACATGAAGGACCAGGAAGATGGCAATAGTGGTACAGAGGACCCTGAAGAGTCCAATGATGATAGCTCAGATGATAACTTCTGTAAGGATGAGGACTTCAGCACCAGCTCAGTGTGGCGTAGCTATGCTACCCGGAGGCAGACCCGAGGCCAAAAAGAGAATGGACCCACTGAAACAGCTTCCAAGGACTCACGCCCCCCAGACCTTGGACCCCCACACATTCCTATCCCTCCTTCAATCTCTGTAGGGGGCTGCAATCCACCTTCCTCTGAAGAGACACCCAAGAATAAGGTGGCCTCGTGGTTGAGCTGCAATAGTGTCAGTGAAGGTGGCTTTGCTGACTCTGATAGTCGTTCATCCTTTAAGACTAGTGAAGTTGGGGAGGGTCGGAGTGGAGGAAGCCGAGGGGAGGCTGAGAAGATCTCCACTTCAGTACTGGGCATGAAAGATGAAGGAGACATCAAGCAGGCCAAAAAAGAGGTAAGTCCCTGAAAATTGAGAGCAGAGGCTTTTGGGGGTGGGTTTTTCTGTTATTTTGGTTCATTTTGCTTGGCTAGTAGTCAAGCAAAGTGGTTCTGCCACTCTAGTCACATCTCCAGGTTGCTTTTTTGCTGGTTTTTTTTTTGTTTTTGTTTTTTTGTCGGTCGTGAGGCTTGAACTCTGGGCCTGGGCGCTGTCCCTCAGCTCTTCAGCTCAAGGCGAGTGCTTTACCAATTGAGCTACAGCGCCACTTCTGGTTTTCTGGTGGTTTATTGGAGATAGGAGTCTCACGGTCTCTCCTGCCCGGGCTGGCTTTGAACTGCGATCCTCAGATCTCAGCCTCCTGAGTAGCTAGGATTACAGGTGTGAGCCACCAGTGCCCGGCTTTTGCTGGTTATAGAGTCTCAAGGACTTTCCTATCCAGGCTGGCTTCAAACCTTGATCATCTAGTTCAACTTCCTTAGTAGCTAAGATTACAGATGTGACCCACCACATTGCCCAACTGCCACAAGGACAATGGCTTTTAACTTTGGTGTAATAAGTCTGCATTTCGATTATTTACATGGTGTGTGTATGACAACCGATTATCTGCCCTCTCAACCCAGTGTATTCCTGGTGTTTACTTAAAGAACCAATTTAGCTGAGCACTGTAGAACTTGCTATTTGAGAGGCTAAGAGCAGGAAGATCACAGCTCAGGACATAAATGAAAGGCCCTATTTGAAAAATAAGGCAAAAAGGGCTGTGAGTAGCTCAGGTGATAGAGCATCTGCCTGGCAGTTCAAGCCCCAGTACCACCAACAAAGAATTACCTTAAAATCCACTTCCAGCCGGGGGCTGGTGGCTCACGCCTGTAATCCTAGCTACTCAGGAGGCTGAGATCTGAGGATCATAGTTCAAAGCCAGCCTGGGCAGGAAAGACGGTGAGACTCCTATCTCCAATAAACCACCAGAAAACCAGAAGTGGCGCTGTAGCTCAAGTGGTAGAGCACTCACCTTGAGCTGAGGGACAGCGCCCAGGCCCAGAGTTCAAGTCCCATGACCGACCAAAAAAAAAAAATCCACTTCCTCGGGGAGAGTGTCTGATTTAGATTTATCCAAAAGATTTATATGGAGTTCTTTTTCCTTGTGCTGGGGAAGGGTTTGGCCAACCCAGGGGTTTGAACTCAAGGTCTGGAGGTACTAGCCTAAACCTTGCTAGCTCAAAGCCAGCACTATACCACTTGAGCCACAGCTCCACTCCTGGCTTTTTTTGGGGTGGTTAACTAGAGATAAAGCCTCACAGACTTTCCTGCCAGGCTGGCTTTGAGCCTTCATCCTCAGATCTCAGCTTTTTGAGTAACTAGGATTTTAGGCATCTGGTAGCATTATTTTTTAAGTGGTGTTTTAAAATAGGTGGCTTATGCCTGTAATCCTAGCTATTTGGGGTTAAACCCAAAGAATTGTAGTTCAAAGCCAGCCCCCCCCAAAGTCATTAAGATCCCATCTTTAAGTAACCAGTAAAAATACTGGGTTACAAATGTGCCAGCAGAGTGAGAGCCTGAGGCACCAAGTTCCAGTACTTGCACACCTAGAAAAGGTGTTTCAGTTTGTCTACATCATTGATTGCTTTTACTAAAATAGATAGCTCAAAGCCAGGGAATTTTTGTTTTTATTTTGTTGACTATGGGGCTTGAACTCAAGGCCTGAGCACTGTCCCTGAGCTTTTGTGCTCAAGGCTAGTGCTCTATCACTTGAAGCCATATTGCCACTTCCAGTTTTCTGGCTATCAAGAGACTCACAGACTTTCCTGCCTGGCAGCTTTGCTTCAAACCACAATCTTCAGATCTTGGGCCTCCTGAGTACCTAGGGTTACAGGTGTTGAGCCACCAGTGCCCAGCAAAGCGGCAGAGTTTAAAGAGGAAGCTCATTTAAGCCAGAAGTTTGAGGCCAGCCTGGACTGTACATATGGATATCCAGTTCCAAAAAAGAAAATGAACTGATTTCAAGTATATCATACTGACAGTTAATACATTGCAGGTAATGAAAGTGTTCTGGGTCTTTTATTAGACTCTGGTCATAGTATTTTTCCTGTGAGGATTATGTCCCATCATTGTGAAAGGGTTAAAGAGTTCTGCGGGGAGAAATAAGTGATAGAACAGTATTGTTGCAATATGATTGTTGCTGTCAAATTGCCAAGTGATTTTCCCACCCCTACCACAATTTAGACAATGTACCTTTGTTGGTTGTCTCTGAAGATCATTTGAAATGAAGTCATATTACTGGATTTGCTACCTTGTTAACGTTTCACCTTTTTTTCTAGGATCCTGATGATCGAAACAAGGTGTCAGTGTAAGTATTTGTCATTTGACTTGCTTCCAAGTGGGCCCTCTCTTCTCAAGCCCGTGACCTGAACTCCTGATTTCTTTCCCTCCTATCAGAGTTACTGAAAGTTCTCGGAATTATGGTTATAATCCTCATGTGAAGCCAGAAGGACTTCGCCGTCCATCTAGTAAGACTAATATGCATCAGAGTCGGCGACTCATGGCCTCTGCCCATGCCAACCCTGATGTAAGTGATCTTTTTGAGCAATGCCTTACCCAGCTTTCTGTTTTATCCAGAATTAAATGAAAAAGCATGGAGCCATCTTGCCATATCAACTAATGGAGGGCTGGGAAGGTGGCTCAGTGGTAGAGAACTTGCCTTGCATGCCTGAGGCCCTAGGTTCCATTCCTCAGCACCACATAAGAAAAAAGCTGGAAGTGGCGCTGTGGCTCAAGTGGTAGAGCGCTAGCCTTGAGCTGAAGAGCTGAGGGACAGCACCCAGGCCCAGAGTTCAGGCCCCACGACCGGACCCAAAAAGAAAAAAAACTAATGGAATTACTGTTAAATCTTTCCTTGCTTCTTGGCCTTCCTTTCTACCTTACTTTCATCCCATCTCTAATCTTGTTAGAGCTTAGCTCTTACAGAGCAAAGTAGCTCTTACATTGCAAAGACTTGAAACAGACTCCCATTTACTTTTTCTTTTTTTCTTATCCTTGTGTCCCTAGGATGTCCTGACACTCTCCAGCAGCACAGAAAGTGAGGGGGAAAGTGGCACCAGCCGCAAGCCCACTGCAGGGCAGACTTCAAACGCAGCAGTTGACAGTGATGATATCCAAACCATCTCCTCTGGCTCAGAAGGGGAGGACTTTGAGGACAAGAAGAACATGTCTGGTAGTCTTGAAAAATTGCGGGAGTGGGAGGAAGGAACAGGAGCAAAGTAGAAATAGAGTATTTTTGAAGGAAGCCAAGAAGGGGGAAAAAACACAGATTCTAGGACTCCAGGCATCACTGGAGGGCTCCCTGACTAATCTAACTGTTGTTCTTTAACAAGTAATCTTCCTCTCTTCTTTTTCCTTTTTTCCCTAGCTCCTTTGTCTAGATCTAATTCTGCTTTGTGATAGAGTACATGCCTCACATGCATGAAGTCCTGGATTTGATTCTCAATACCACATACACAGAAAAAGTAGCGTTGTGGCTCAAGTAGTAGAGCACTAGCTTCGAGCAGAAAGAAGCCCAGGGACAGTGCCCAGGCCCTGAGTTCAACCTCTAGGACTAGTTTAAAAGACAAAAACAAAAACTGTCATTTAGCCTAGCAACTCAGGAGGCTGGGATGAAACTGAGTTCAAACCCCACTTATTGACCTCCCCCCCCCAAAAAAAACGGGGGGGGCAGAATGACAAATTAGGATGGGCAGTAACCCCATTCTTCCTGTCCAGGTCCAACAAAGCGCCAGGTGGCAGTTAAATCAACCCGAGGCTTCGCTCTTAAATCAACCCATGGGATTGCCATTAAGTCAACCAACATGGCCTCTGTGGACAAGGGAGAGAGTGCACCTGTTCGAAAGAACACACGCCAATTCTATGACGGTGAAGAGTCTTGCTACATCATTGATGCCAAGCTGGAAGGCAACCTGGGTCGCTACCTCAATGTGAGATCTTTTCCCCCACTTCTAGACTGGGATTTTCCCACAGTCCTTAAATTTCTACTGTTAACATCCTATATAAAGCCACCTTTTCTTATAAATTGACTTCAAAGAATCTTAAGAGGTAGCTTTCTTTCAAAACATCTCTGCTGTAATGGGGAGGGTTAGATATCATTTACTTTCTAACTCACCCCACAAAACCAGATTCTATTTCTGTGGTTCTGATTCAATGCCATCCTTATACTTACAGCACAGTTGCAGTCCCAACCTGTTTGTCCAGAATGTCTTTGTGGATACCCACGATCTTCGCTTCCCCTGGGTGGCCTTCTTTGCCAGCAAGTAAGAGGACGTAGGAAGAGGGATTGTTTGGGGAGGGGTGAGAACTATTGAAATCCTAAAGGCTCTTAGGACTGTGTCTGGTCAAATCTCCAACTCTACACTCTGTAACTCCAGGTGCCTGTGTTATCTGCTACCTTTCCCACACCGTGTCCTTTTTTCCCTCCAGGAGAATCCGAGCTGGGACAGAACTTACTTGGGACTACAACTATGAAGTGGGTAGTGTGGAAGGCAAGGAGCTGCTCTGCTGCTGTGGAGCCATTGAATGCAGAGGCCGGCTTCTTTAGAGGAGAGCCCTCCATGTTCAGAACCCTTCTTGAACTGTCTTTTTCCTCAGGAACTGGGTCTTCCTGACTGTTGAACTCTGACCTAAGCAAGCCTCTGGTCTAGCTACTCCCCAGCTCTTAGTAGGTAGAAATGGGGAGACTGGATCAGGAGAGCTCTTCCATTGTGGTGCTAGCAGGCAAGGTCCCTTTCTTGATTTATAGAGGGATAGAATAGGGAAGGATTGAGGGATTGACTTAACACTCTAGCCTGAGCCTGATAACCCTCCTATCTCTTTGTACAAGTGTCCCTATTCTGATAAACCGGGTCTGTGCATCTGCCTATCCCTGGTTTGTACTGGTTCTTCAAAGATTTGGCAAGAAGATTGTGATTTTGATTTTATTTCTCTCCCTCAGTCTCTTTATCCCAATTCTGGATCTTTAGTCAAAGATCTGTTTCCCCATCCTTTACAATAGGCAGCTGTCATAATCTTGTACTTTCTCTACTTTTGTTTTCTTACTTGCCATGTGAAATTTTAAAAAGAAAATGTTACATAACTGCAAGGAAGGCATAAGAAAGACTTTTACTTTATTTAGTTGCTCCCCTTTCTTAATTCCTAATAGTCGGACGCTTGTTACCATATTTTATTTAATCTTTAATATATTTTAATTAAAAAAAAAACCATTAACAGTACATTTTGGTCTGAAATGGTCCCTCTGCTGAAATGCCAGGTGCTAGCTGTAGTTCTAGCTTTAAAACAAACCCCAAATGTTTAATAAATAAAAATTAGAACTAGTTGTCATTTACTCCAAACCAGCTAAACAAGAAGAGAAGAGAGATCAGAGAAAGGAGGCAGTAAGATCTTGGACCTATGGTTAAAGGAACAGCTAGCAGAGAAATAACACAAAGACCATCTGCACAGTCCCCAGTGTAGCCCCACTTTTTGGCAGAGGTGTGGGAAGGGTTACATATGCTCTCCTACAGTCAATTCATGTGTGGGGAGAGAAAAAGTTAAAAGTCAGCTCAGCTTTGGTTTCTGGCCCAAGTTTGGGAGCTTAGAAAGATGAGCCTTGGTCCAGCTTTGGCAGAATGAGGCCCACAGGTGGGGCAATAAGGCACAACCCCGACTTCAAGCAGGGAGTCAAAGGCAAACAACTAGAGCCAATTCTTGGTAAGGAATGTGAATCATAACCTCCACCTCTAGAGCTGAGGTCTCAAAAGCAATAGAAAGAATAACTTGGGAGACTAGAGAGGAAAATATGACCATCCCCCCCTCTAACAAAGGATATAACCAGCCTCCTCTACCTGGGAATTGGCTGGTTACAATTTGGTTTAAAGGCAACTGGGTGATAAAAGGAGGAGGGAGGACGCAGAGAAGTCTCCTCTCCCTTTCTCCTTAGTCCCCAGAACTTAAATAGACCCTACTTTGGAAGTTGGCTAGTTCCTTGGCTTTATGCATTGATGTGGGGAACCGGTGGGACAGTAGTTCAGTCAGTCTTACGATGGTTGTTATTGAGAATAGGGTGGCCATTGGCTAGGGGCCGACTTTTTATTCCTCCCCCAGATGCAGCCTCTTCCCCCTCTGAGCTCTCTGTTTCATCACGGTCACTGCGTTCATCTTCTACCAGCTGTGAAAAAGGGATAGGAGGAGTCACATATTTCAAAAGCATTTGCTGGAATGTAAGTTTAAAATTCTAAGGAGTTAAAAGATTTAAGGCCTATAAACAACTTCACCTTTCCAGTTATGAACTTGTGGGCCATTCGCAAAATGAGGTAGGCCCAGAAGATATGTAGCGCCTGCAGCACTGTCATCATGACATTGAAGAAGTAATAGCCAAAGAAGGCAGGATAGAGCTCCAGCGGATACAACACGGTACAGTACAGCATCCTAAGGATTAAAGGGGGAAACACAGAAGGGGAAAAAGATGGAGGGTGAATACAGGAGGGGAAGAAAGGCAAGACTTTTACATTCTTGACCACAGTATAGTCTGCCCACCTACTTACCAGAAGGGCAGGATGACTAGCCGAGTGATGATGAAAACAGCAGCAAAGACGATGAAGATGTTGTTACAGGTGTTTTTCCATCCCGCGTAGTTGAACATCTTGGCTGACTGCACAAATAGCCTCGTCTATCATCATGTGTCCCTGACTCTCCCACGTACACTTTCACGTACACCCTGTTAGCAGTACTGGCTCCGTGCCCCTCCCCCTAACTCCGCCCCAGGAATGTCACTCCCCCTCCCCATTGCCCCAGTTGAAGAGCAAGCACTGGAGCCTCCAGCTGAAAGAAATCTAACCTCCAGCAAGTAGTCAGAAGAGTCATGGAGAGCCATAATGAGAGTCCCCGCACGGATGTAATTGACAACCCACGAGAAGCTGACGAGAACGATGGTGGCCACGTGGTGGATGATCTGCTCCTTGAAATCCTGCAGAAAAGACTCCGGCTCCAGGGAACTTTTTCCTGCTCCTCAACTTCCCACTATTCCTTCCTCCCACCACCTTCCATTCCACTCAGATCCCAACGGCTCCTTCCAAAGCCCACAGAACCCAAAAGAAACAAGGGCCTCATTTGGCTGCTGGATTTAATTGTACAACCCCTTCACCCACCTTTCGCTTGACATCAGAAGCAACGCTGAAGAGAAGGGACCAGTAGAAGGAAAGCTCAATCATGTAGTACCAATACTGGGAAGGGATAATGCTCTGGGAGAGGAGAGAGCGGTGAGCCCCACAGCAACAAGTCTCGGGGGGGCTCACCGCTCCAAGCCCAGCCCTTCTAGCTCCTAGGGTTATTCAGTTCAATGACTGAATTACTCTACTGTGTGTTTACGCTATCTTCACAAGGGTGTGAATGTCTTAGCCACCCCTATAAAGGGGCCTACTTCATACCTGTATGGGGTATCCCTCCCAAACTTTCCTCATGTCATAGAACCAGGGTTTCTGCAGAAAGATGATGAGAGATTAGAAGACCAAGGACCTCAAGTACTACTAATGGCCTCAACCAGTCTGCCAGAGAATTTTAACTCCCACTTCCCGGTTACCCCAACTCACATCCACAATGACGGCCATGCCAGCAATGAAGGCAATCAGGTAAAATGTGAACCTCCAGCTGGAAGAGGAAGCAGAGCTGGCTAGGGAGAGAATGGCACAGCCCCCAACGCTTCCCAAGGCTCCCAGACACTCTGATAGCACTGTGAGTGACTGAATTCGTCTGCCGTTGCCAACTGCCAGGACCCACCCCTCCCAGCAAGGAACAGCACCTCTCTGCCCCTCAGTTTCATTTGCCCCAACTTGCTGCACCTTGCTTCTCGGAACTTCTTGAGAAGACTCGGCCGGTCCTGGTTGCGGCGACGGCGGAACCAGCGTTCTACCTGGCGGCCAGAAAGCCCACTCTGCCGCGACAAGAGCTCCACTTCTATCTGGGTGTAGTGAAAAAGTCATTTCGTTCTGCCTCAGAATAAACAGCTCCCGCACGGGCCCAACCTCTCCCAGGATCCACCCTAGCATCCTAAGGGTCTCCACCCACCAGGGCTAGCCTTCACATCAGAACCCCGGAACTCACAGAGCCTGAGCACAGTCTGCAGCTTGTACCTGCTTGGGCTGCTTGCCACTGGTTAGGTAAAAATGCTCCAAGGTGGGGTTGGGAGGCGCTCGTAACCGAGTTTTCTCCTTAACATTCAGGAGGGAAGCCAGTGGTGTAGCCACATAACTGGGGAAAGGACATGACAGAGATGTGTCTGGCTTTCTTGGAGCACTTCCCTAAACTAGGAAGGGAGAAAGGACTCCCAAATTCAGATAACTTATTTTCTGGACCTCAGTTTCCCCAGTTTCCTGGCAACCCCCTTTCTTCTGGGCTACTGGGCTGCCCGTAGCTTACAAAGCCGCCTGTGTTTACTACTGGCCAGGCAGTAGCGGGTGGAGGGTAATAACAAATAACCATTGAAGGGAAAGGGCCTAGGGGTGCCGAGCCCTCAGAAGACAATGGTGCCCTGGGGGTGGGAGGGGGGTGGGGGACACAGTAGGCAGGGACTTGAAGAGCCAGAACACAGTCCAGAACTAGATAGCAAGAAACAAAGGTGAAGTCCAATAGACTGTATGACAGGCTACAGAGAAAGGTATGTGGGTGCCTGGTATGCTCACAGCTCAAAGAAGTATCGAATGATGAGGAAGAGCAAGGCCAGTGGTAGTGTCATGTACAGGTCTGAAGCTTTGGCATAGACACGTCCATCTTTATCTTCTAGATCTGCCCAGGTTAGGTTCCCAGGCAGCCATAGCCGTTCCCACCAGAAGTAATCATACAAGGTCTGGAGCATCCTGAGTGAGAAGTAATAAGAGAATGTCAAAAGGGGGTACCTGTGGGGAAAGAGATGAAGAAAGGCTTTCGTAGTATGTCAAAAGGTGCCAAGGGGTTGCCAGGCACTGATAGCTTTCACCTGTAATCCCAACTATTTAGGAGACTGGGATTGCAAGCCTCCTATCTCCAATTAACTGGCAAAAAGACAAGGATGTGTGGTCTTGAGCAGAAAAAAATAATCGAGAGCATGAGGCACTGAATTTAAGCCCCAGAATGGCACAAAAAGAGCAGAAGCTGCTCTTTTTTGATTTTGGTTCTGTCCATGTGGCCTTGGAACAAATCGATCTTCTCATCTGAGATGTAGAGGCGTAACATTTACTGTTTATATTGGAAGAAAATGACAGCGAGGGGTGACACAGTTCAAAAAGAAGTCATTATTTGATGTGTAAGTATAACCCCTCTACAATTTTTTTAAATACTGTTTATGACACTGACATCAAAGAAGTCTTTGGAACCTTGGTGGCTGGGTGCCAGTGATTCACACCTGCATCCCAGCTACCCAGGAGGCTGAGATCTGGGAACACTGCTTTTCAAGGCCGAAGGGGCAGTAAAGTCCACATGGTGCCATTTCCAAAATAACCAGCTAAAAGCAACTCAAATGGTAGAATACAATTTGAACAAGCACGTTCAAACCCCAATTCTGGCCAAAAAAAAAAAAAAAGAACTTTGCAGTAGGTGTAGTGGTCCATACCTGTAATCCTAGTAACTCTGAGGTAGAGATTGGGAGGATCAAGGTTTGAGGCCAGCCCAGGCAAAAAGTTGGCAAGACCCCATCTCAACCAATAAAAGCTGGGCATGTCATCCTTGCTACCTAAGAAGCATAAATAAGCAGGAGGACCATGGTCCTAGCCAGCCTTGGAGTAAAAGTGAAACTCTATGGAAGACAGAAATAAAAAAGGGTTGAGGGGGAAGATGGCTCAGTGGTAAAGTGCTTGCCTTGCATGCATGAGACCCTGGGTTTGATTCCTCAGCACCACATAACCAGAAAAAACTGAAAGTGGCGCTGTGGCTCTAATGGTGGAGCGCTAGCCTTGAGGGGACAGGGCCCAGGCACAAAGTTCAGGCCCCACAACTGAGAAAAAAAAAGGGGGGAGGGGGTTTGAGTGTTTGGCTCAGGTGGTAGAGTATCTGCCTAAGAAGCACAAAGCCCACAGTGTTTCCTCCCCCCCGCCCACTTTTGCCTTTGGTTGTCATTTTGCTATCTCAACCTGGAGGATAAGGAACTAACTTGAGAAGTTATAGCCAACAATCTAAAGTCAGAAGCTCTTTTTCCTCACCTTACTCAAGGCTACCCTTCAGCTGCCCTGGAGCAAGGGGCAGGAAGAAAGCCCAAGAACAGAAGACTAGGGCAAAAGCTTCCTCCCCTTCCCTACAACCTAGAGAAAAGAACCATCTACTGTGCCAACCTAAGGCACAGTACGTCCTTCAGTAAAACCTTCAGAACAGGCAGTAAGCGTGAGACAACAGCACACAGAACTGACACTGCAGACAAGTGACGGAGCCCCCACACGAGCCGAGGGAACCCCATCGATGAACCTCTTTTTAGAAAGTGAAGGCTGAAGGCAAGAAAACGCAGATGGAAGCCAAACATCTTTATCTAATGGAACTAAGCTTTTTTTTCTTTTATTTTTTATGTGGTACCAAGGAATCGAACCCAGGGCCCCAAACGCGCATGCTAGGAAAGCACTCTGCCACTAAACCACATTCCCAGCCCTTTCTTTTCCATTTCCTGAGATCAAGTCTTGCTGTGGATCTCAGGCTTGCAAGTCTCCTGCCACAACCACCCCAGCACTGAGACTACAGGTGATATCATGCCCCACTCAAGCTATTTCTAAGGTGCTTGTCTGTTTTTTAAATATTAGCTTCCATCAGTTGCTTAAGGGGGTGTTTCATTGTGACATTTCCATACCTGCATACAATGTCACCAATCAACTTCACCCCTCATCACTCTCCCTTATCCCCAACCCCCCTTCTTACAACAGTGTCAACCTGGTTGCTCATGCCTGGAATCCTAACTACTCAGGAGGCTGAGAGCTGAGGATCACAGTTCAAAGCCAGCTCTGGCAGGCTGTGGCTCAAGTGGTAGAGTGCTTGCCTTAAGCTGGAAGAGCTCAGGGACAGTGCCCAAGCCCAGAGTTCAAGCCCCACGACCGACCAAAAAAAAAAAAAGTCGTTTCATTGTTCTAATTTCTTTCTTTTCCTAGAACTGGGGTTTGAATTCATGATGGCCTTGTGCTTGCTGGGCAGGTGCTCCAGCTGAGCCATGCCTTCCAGCTCACTATTTTCATACCTGTATATAAAGTACTTTAACATAATCGTCCTCACTCATGCCGACACCTGTTTTCCAATGGAACTTGCTTTACTCTCCCGTCATTCACTTCTCTTAAGTACGTATTACCAAAAGATTTTGAACATGCATGTATTCTATGTTAACCAGAGGAACCCCTTCTATTGCTCTCTCCTTCTCAGTCCCCCACTTCTCAGGGGCTCTTTCATACAAAGTACATAAAATAGTTTGCAGGAAGACCCATCATAAACACTCCTCAACCCAGGAAAGAGCTGTTGCTTTAGCGCTTCTCCCCTTCCCTCCACTGAAAGATAAAGGGACCATTGAGCAGGCATGACCAACTAGACACTCAGCTGAGGAAGGGACTGGTTTGTGGTTCATGGAGGGACAGTAGATGCTTGGAGCTCAGAGATGCAATAAGACAGCTCTGGAAAGTCAGGGATGCAGGGTGGAGCGCACCCCCTGGCAGTTGTGGGAGCAGGGCAGGGCAGCCAGGGAGGTCTTGCTCAGGCTCCTCACCCCCTATTCTCCTCCCAAGAGGAAAGGGAGAGTATTCAGATTGGCTTGAAGACTGAGAAAGAAAAGTGATTTTTCTTTCAGCTAGGAAAGGGTGCACAGAGCTTTTCCACCATGAATGGAGGTGGCAGAGGCCAATGGGTCCGGCAGAAGGCAGGCCAAGTCCTCAGCCCATAGCTGAGCTGGGCTGGTCCTAGTTCCGATCAGCCTCCCAGCTCCGCCCTACTCTCCACAGAAACCCTTGCGAAATCCCTCTCAGCCTGTCACGGGTCAGTATTCCAGCTCAAGGACTTTACCCTCTTGTCCCCAACTGCTGGTCACTGCTCTCTTGGATGAAATCAGAGGTCAGCATTTGACAATAAAGAAGCTTCAACTCCACCTCCCCCCCTTGCGGAGCCCTCTCCCAGTCATACACATTCCAAGCCACAGAACCCAAGGCACTACTACCCTCTCCCCCTCCACCTTAGCCAGAATAAATATTTAATTAGTTAAAAGAGATGGAAGCTTTTTGAACTGAACAAAATTAAATATAATTGCTCATGGTGAAACTTTCCCTACACAGGCAAACATTCTTCCTACAGAAAAGTAGAAAACTGAAAAGAAAGGACAATGCCATTTGTAGACCTCCTCCACCCACCCACCCCCAATCTTTTTTTTAGCCTGACTGGAATGGGGAATGCTATCTGACTGCTAGGGTCCTAGAGTCCCAACTTTTCTTCCAATGAGACCTACAGCCAAAGATGCAGACAGGCCTAGACCCTGCGCCCATCCGTCCGTCCCACTCTGAAGTGGAAACTAGTAGGGATGTTTCTTTGGTCAGGGGCATTTTGAGGGTTAGGGACTAGAAAGGCTGGGGGGGGAGGAGCTGGAGATAGCTGGAGCCTCTCCCCTAGCCTCCTGGGGCCCAAAAGTATCTTGTTCTACACCTAGAATGTGAAGTAAATGGACAGAGTAGGTGTGAGCAAATGGTCAAGGCAAACAACTGAATAGTGCACCTCTGTCCAGCCCTGGACAAGCTGGCACTTGTCCTTTCCTCTCCAAGCAGGGAAAGTGGGAGCAGGAAGCGTCGGGATTCAAGCGGCCGCCCGCACACCTGGGTTTCAGGCTTTCAGTGACCACAGCCCTCCCAGGTATTCTGGAACACCATTAGCAGAGATGTACTGCCTGCCCCAGCTAGCAGGGAGATGGCACCGGATTGAGCAGGGTCAGGACTTCGGACTGCATAGAAGGGGAAAGGATGCAACTTGGAAACCACATCTCCACACAACTAAGGAGCCTACGCCCTATGGCAACCAAAGTGTCTTCTTGGTACCTGCACACCAAACAAAGCATCCCATACACGAGACCTGACCAAAACAACAACAAAACAAAAAAATTAAGGTCATGTTGACTGAAGTGTAGGAGATAACCCTGATTTTCCAGCCTCCTCAGTCCTCAGGGCAAATTCTTAATTTTCTTTTTTTTTTTTTTGGGTCTGGTCGTGGGGCCTGAACTCTGGGCCTGGGCGCTGTCCCTCAGCTCTTCAGCTCAAGGCTAGTGCTCTACCACTTGAGCCACAGCGCCACTTCCG